CGTGCAGGTGGGGCAGGGGGGGAGAGAAAGAAGTAGTTGCACGCCCTCCCCCCCCACACACACACACAGAGAGAGAACAGAAGCCCCCAGGACAAGAAACTGCCATCACCGTGACCCACCTCCGCCCCACATTCTCTTCCGCAGACAAAAGGGAGAAGCAGCAAGAGGCATCCTCAGGGTGACGAGAAATTGTGAGACTGCAAGGGCTGCTCCTCCTCCGCCGCCTCAGAAAACCTAAAAGCAGCGCGCTATTTCTCGGAAGCCCCAGCTCGAGGAGAGCCGTGGCCATCCGTGCAGCTTTGGTGGATCAACTCCTCGGTCCGCTCCATTGGGGTCTGCTCGAATTGCAACTTTGCTAAACAACATGATTTCGGCCATTGATAGATGTGTCTGTAGATGTATATAGCTTCCCGGTGTGATGTGATGGGTAGCGTAACGGACTAGGATGCTGGAGAGCAGGGTTCGAATCCCCAGTCGGCCGTGCAGACTGAGTGGGGCAGTGGAACTGGTAAAACCGCTGCTTAAATATCTCTCATACCTTTCAAACTCCTTTAGAGTCGCTATAAATCAGTTCCGAGTTGACAGGACCAAACACCCACAGAGATACACATATGTGCACATATAGTAAACTTCCTTCTGTGTAAAGAAACAAAATAATCCTCTAGCAATAAGGAGTTCTCACTGCTCTGTAAACGGGTGTAAGAACTCTCAGTTCAGTTTATTTGAGAACAGTTATGTATTTACAATATTTGAGAGACTAACAAATTAGTGATAGAAAAATACTGTACTGTAGCATGACATCTTAAGCTAACCAGAACTGAGTACTGTATAGTGTGCTGTTGCAAAGGTTATATGTGTGTAAGCCACTTCTAAAAATTCATTATAGCTTGGAACAACTCCAAAATTCTTCTTAACCTTAACTTTCATCATCTTCTAATTTTTTAATTGTATGTATTTTTGAAACAGACTTGTGTTCCATTTTCATTGCAGATTTGAGACCTCCAGAGCTTTTTGCAATAAACTGCCTGTCATTACAGGTGCCCAAATCAAAGAATACAGTACTTAGCATTGCAGTTATAGGGCATACACACGTACACCCATCTATATCCTAAATGTGTGTGCAAACCCTGTTTCCAAGATACCAAGATGCCGACTGTAAAACTATTACAATGGATTAAAGAATAAAAATAGATCTCTTGTGTTCTGCTTTTAAGTCTTCAAAGAAGACCTCCTGGGAGAACTTGCTCTTTATGTGCAACCTGTTCTTGGATCCAGAATGAATGTCTCTCCACGTTGCAGATTAAAGCTGTTGAGGGTCCTACAGAAGTAAAGTGCGGGAGATCTTTTGCCCCCCTCTTTTTGGAGAACATAAATAAAACTGACAGCACAATTTGGTTCGTCTTGCTTCCATTTTATATTGTTTGATGGTAGAACCTGCCCATCTATCACTAGCTACTAAGTACCCTGTGGCTGCTGTGTGCAGCTCTCATGCATCCCATCAGTATATTTCAGTGGTTCAGGTATCTGGCTGCAAAGCCAGAGTTTGGGAGTTCAGTTCTCCACTATGCCTCCTTGACAAGGGCTGGACTTGATGATCTATGGGCTCCCTTCCATCTCTGCAATTCTAAGAGTAATATAATAAATCCCTCATTCGTCATATCCTGCCGTGCCCCCATTCTGCATTCTGAATGGCTTCACTGAAAGGGCATCATAACACAAAAATGGACAGCTAGGCACTAGACTGTGCTGCTTTTGAACCATCAAAGCTGGCATAACGTCCTTGCTGTTTTTTTGATTTAGGGTCTCCCCCCCCCTTGGTGTGTCCTTGAACTACAATTGATTTCACTGCTGTTTAAATATAAATCATTTCATTGTATCCACATAACCCAACTTATTGCATTTTCAGTTGTCTGTTTTTTAACCATGTTGCAAGCCCTTGTAGGTGGGATTTAAGTAAAAGAAATAATACTGTACTAGAAAACCCTAATTAAGATACATCACAGTAGAGTTTTCTGGGTGTGCTGTACTGCAATTCCAGGTTCTCCCAGACAACATGGTTCTTTGCCTTAGTAGTAGAAGAGGAAGGGATTTGCCAGCCAATAATCTCTGGAGGACAACAGGCTGAGGAAAGTTGTAGTGGGATGAATGGCAACCTGTTTTATGGACCTTAAAGTAAACCCAAGTGAAGACTCTGAACCTCCTCTTTGAGGGCGAAGCATTATGGTAAAAATGAGGAATAGGAAAATGTTGCTTTGGGTGGGTGCGGACTACAAAATTCTGGGAGTTTTGGTATTAAAAAAGCAATGTTTCTCGTCTCTGGTGAATATAGGCAGAATTGTATTGCTGTGTTGTTAATTGTGCCAGCAGCCTAGAATACAGTCCACAAGGCCCTTACAGTCTACAGGTGGGACCTTGGCTGACCATTTGGATGTCAATGAGCTGGACATCATGTGTAACCCAGACCATAATCCATGTTCCTGTTAGTTCTTGCAAACATGCACCAAAAGCTGTATGTGACAAAGGCAAAATACCCCACCTGTTCGGTCTCTGCAGTTGGACGAACAGGCAGGAGGAATATTGTGGGGTGGTTTGGGTTTGTTTGTTTTTTTGTTTTTTGTTTTGGTTTGGTTTGTTTTTTGGTTAAATGATGGTGCCAGCTCTGAGGCGTTCTGGCCATTCTGTAGAGATTCCAAAAGTTATCACACTTCTGTGCGGCAACATCAGTTTGATAAGCCTCTGAGCCCATGTACGTTGAGGCCTCTAAACCCCAAAACTGGGCAGCCATACCAAAAATGTGATGTCATTTAGACAGGCAGAGCAAATTGTGATTTAACACCCTGGAAATGTAAGGGCTTTGGACTGGGTTCTTCCTTGCGAAATGCCAGCTTCTAATTCTTTTGACAAAAGGGCCAGACATCCCATCTGCCATGCAGCCTGATAAATGGTACACTCGTGCCCTATTCAAGCATTATATAAATGTATTGAATAAGCTCACAAATGCAAGTGGAGCACACCGGACTTGGTCCTCACCCCCACCACACCCCATTTCCATTACCTTCTATCACGGAGTCCACCAAACTAAGTAGAGAACAGCCTCTTATGCAGGCATGCTAGGCCATAAACCTTTTAGTGTACCTCATACTGAGCTCCCTACAGTGGTGGAAAATGTCTGTTTGTCACAATATGTGGTTGGCTGTTGTTGCTGTTTTGTCATCTCCATAGCTTGCATTTCTACACTTTGTTTTGTGGCTGGCTGTTTGAAGGCAAATGCAGACATGCATCTCTGAGGAAATCCCATTGGGAGAAGGAAAATGGGTTACTCATATAGGAAAACATGGCCTCTTCAGTTTCTAGTTTGACCCGCAGAAAGCTAGAATCTTCTTTCACAGGACTTGCACAAATAATTCTTTGTCTCTCAACTTGGTTCCAAAGGAAGACTCCTGAGGTTTTATTTCAGGGCTCTTTCTTCTGTTGCATTTAATACAGTGATAAAACACGGATGATAGAGTAATAAAACAGAGGAAGATTTCCCAAGTCTTTTTGAAATGATTTTTTGATGTGATATCAGGAAAGAGGGAGCCATTGACATGCTGTAGATAGAGTAAGACTCTTAGGCCACAGGGATGTGAATTCAGATCCCACTGCAGCTTTCTCAATGGCCTGGGTGCCATTTCATCCCCTAATTGCCACTTTCAGAATTAGTAGGTGGATAAAGAAACAGTAGACTCTTCTAGGGTGCCAGCTGATCAGTGTCCTATTTTCTGAGTTTTCAGAGCCATAATCAGAGAGCAGGAGGTGGGCCCTTGTGATAGGCCAGAGGCAGAGGAGACAAGAGTTGAGAGAGGGGACTGTAGGGACTGTATTCCAGCTTTTGTATCCTTGCTGCCAGATTTTATAAAACAAGAAGGCTCATGAGTCACAATGCAAGTGCCCTACTTCCTCCCTTATTGACTGGAGAGCGAGCCAGTGTTTGCATGCATTAAGACCCGTTCTGCCATTTGAAGCAGCAGACACATACACACCTACATGCTGAGCTAGTGAGCCCAATTACTAGTCAGAGATGGATAAAGATGAGTGCTGGGCTTGCTTTTGCACATGAGAATCAAATATTATTTTCCTTCAGTGCTGCTTGCTCTCAAATTTGTCTTCAGAGCTGAAGATCTGGAGAAGTTTCTCTGAGCCTTCAGACAGCACTCTGACACTTGACAATGTCAGACCCCTCTGTCTTTGATCTGAGTCCCATGGAGGGGCTCACTCTAAATTAGCAAGCAATCAGCAGCTGTAATGTCTGGGATCATCCCACATCTGTAACCTAACAGCCACTTTCAGGACCCAAGCACTAGAGTTGCTTCAGTTTGCTAGATCCTCTAGGACAGTGGTTCTTAACCTTTGTTACTCAGATGCTTTTGAACTGCAGCTCCCAGAAACCCCAGTCAGGACAGCTGGTGGTGAAGGCTTCTGGGAGTTGCAGTCCAAAACTCCTGAGTAACCCAAGGTTAAGAACCAGTGCTCTAGGAGGTGGATCTGACAGCTATGGCTGGGCCTGGGAAGCTCCCCACTAAGTTAAATTTTCCAAAATGCCCTGCAGCACCTGATATTGCTGTGCCATGTCACATGTTCTAACAAGGACACCTGGCAATTTAACATGGTGGGTGGCTTCCCTAATTTAACCACAGTCACTGCCATAACTGATAGCTGGATAGCTCAGTGAGTTAGGTACCTAGATGCAGAGCCAGAAGTTGG